ACAAACATGATGGGAATGATGAGAGAGTGCAGAGAATGAAACTCAGGGGACATGGTGGAGAAATTACTGATGCAGTGCCACAAACGATGGAAAGCGTCGACTGGACCAACTACAAATATGATAATCTGATGAAGAATTAAGTCTGACAAAATCATTGAAAGCTGAGGCTAAGCCTGTGCCTACCCTTGGACTATATTTTTGTAGTGTAAATGCACTTCGGCCTGGCCTAGGCCAGGAAATTTGGAACACCTGTTCTAATGGGCCCAGATATCCTGGCCTAGACCAGGCCAACGTGTGTTTACACTACAAAAATCTAGTCCAAAGCTGGGCCTTGGCCAGGCTTGGCTTGTGGCGTAAACATGGCTATGCGTGGTCACCTAGTTTTCATGGTGTCGTACCTTTATGACACTGCAGTGCATTACATGACAGAAGAATATAAAACCCTGAATGGAAATAAGACTTGTAACATAGACAAATAAAAATCCAAACACCTGAAGTCCATATTGTTACAAGGTCAGCCAATTGACCACCACAATTGCACTGTTTACAGTCACAAAAAACTACTAGGAAACATTCCCTAGTAGTCTTCGATAACTACAATTAACACTTCGGCAAATTCCACGTAATATACCAGATAAAAAACTAGAACAGTTTGCCTATATTTTCGCATTATAAACGGGGAAGTGGATAACTGCTTTTATATATCTTGAAACATTGTACAACAGTACATATAAAAAATATTAGCACTGTAAATGGACTCACCTTAGCTTTAACCGTGTAAATACCATAAGGAATACATATAGACGTATATTTAAACACATTTTACATCGACAAAAACCTCTTTCAAATTTCTGCATGAACGAATTCCCTTTAAAAATATGAATTATGCAGAAAATGCTGTACGGTTGCTAAGTAACCATATTCCTTATATAGGCAACACTTCCATATAGGGAAAACCAATGATGTAGAAATATTAGGCGCCAATATTTGCACAGTTTGCGCGAAGGATCGATCGGTAGTATTCTCGAAAAAGTAGAGCGTATATTCGAATATTTTGGCAAATTTCAGCATGCAATATACAATCATGAAGAAAAGAAAGATGCGCAATGCCAGTAAGAAGAGAAAGCAACATCAGAAATCGCAGTTGAACCGCGCGCAGCTCATAGAAGATGCACTTCGTGATGTCAAAGCAAAAGCTGAGTCAAGCTGACCAGTACGGGAGCATTGCTTCTAAATATTACAAACTTTGGAGAAGTGTTGACGTCAACGAAAAATTACAAACTAAGTTGGACAACAGGGCAAGCACGAAAAAGGTATACTCAATTTTTAATGCAAATACATTTCATCAATCCTTTTATTAATGCACCTATTGATTTTAAGCCCCTGGGTGGGAGGGTCGGGCATTTGATCTTCCATGCAATTTTTTGGTCAAATTCTCTAACATGGGGAAGCAAATATCAGTCAAATGTGATCAAATGCCCCATTGTTGGGCTCATAAATTTGTGTCGAAAGGCTTGAAAGTCGTTTGTCCCAGTCCTCAACTTGTGCTCTTCCTTAGGATACAATATGGTGCTCAATTCAAATATCCCCACCCTCTGGAGATGGTGTCGATCAAATTCCTGAGGGTGGGGAAACAAAAATCCATTAAATGCCCTACATATGCCCGATCTTCACTAAAGGCGTAGCATTTAAATATGCATAAATATAACTACATTATATAACACTGTAAACCTCTGATAATAAGCCCCCCCCCCCAATACCCCCGTACAAGCCCATCGCATTACTGAAATTCACACCATTCCAAATATATGCACCCCCACATTTGTTTATCACTATTATACACTAACACAAAAATCACTATTACACCGACACAAAATGTTGTCCATGGGCAAGCCCCCCCCCCTATATAAGCTCCCCTGTGTATAAGCCCATCAAAAACATGTACAAACGAATATAAGCCCAGGGCTCATATTCGGAGGTTTACAGTGTGTCCATATCCATATGCCATTACCTATAGTTATACAGCTAATTCAGAAAAGGTTGTCCTTTGCAAACCTTAAACTTGAAACCTTAAACTCTAAACGTGCAAAGCATAATGGGAGGCCAAGCATCATTTAATAAATCATAGATGGGGCCTATTTCTTAGAGACATGGTGAACATCTCCTTACGAGAACAATTCATTCACAAATAGCTGCAATATTCAAATACTATAAGCTTGAAAGCTGAAACTTGTGCTCCCATTAAGCTTTGCACACTTAGAGTTTAAGGTTTGGAAAGGACACCTTTTTTGATTTGGCTATACAGGTATATATATATTCATTTCCTTTGCCTGAAAGCCTCATTCTTATGAGTCAAGATGAAAGGCAATTTCATCAATTTGCTTACGATTTTTGAGAATGAGACTTCCTGCCAAGAAGAGAATCATGACATACTGTAAACTATATCAAAGGGTTTGTTGGTCACACACTATTAGTTAAGATAAAATTAAGGAACTAAAATATAAATATAAAGCTATAAAAAAATCCATCAACCCAACCAAGTTCAATACCCCTTGATTACAAAACCTGGTATGGCCATACAAATCACTAATAAACAGTCATTAAATTTCAAATTAAAGGTAACTCAGTTGAACATGTCCAGCTCAAGTACTTGTACAGTGGATATTACAACTATTCAACATGAACGATTGGAGGAAATGAGCAATGAATCAATAGGGAATGGAGTTTTTGGCAATTGCTTCCCTAAAAAATTCATTAGATTAGGAATAACAGTTGTTGAAAAGCAGTTGACAGACAGCCTGCTGATATGCTATATAAAGAAGCAATATTTTTGCCAAAATTGTCACACATATGTATCCCATTGTTACTTGGGGTGCAGCTAGACAAAAAGTCAATCTCCCTGATAATGCAATTTATTGGGGGAGAACAGTCAGTCTATAACATTGTTCAAGTTGCTATTTGATTCACTGTACCAACATCAAGCTTCAGAAATGTCAACCAAAACATGACTCTGCATATGTTATGACATCACTGATGCACTTGACCACATGCACCAAAGAGGATATCTTCACTGTGGCTTGAAGTCCAATACTGTGTTGGTTGCACAAAATAAGGAATACATAATTGACTTCGGGAAAGTTTGTGAAATCTCTTGACCAATGGCGATGAAATACAGGGAAGTGTACAAACACATTGCACCAGAAGTCTTGCACGGATCTCGTGTTACAACTGGGAAGAAAATCAGCAGCACAATCCTATTACAGTTAGCAAATGCAGCTACTGATATTAACCCCACAAAAAAGCCCACTCCTTTCAAATTATTGACCATGTTGAATGCAGAGAAAATCCACAGCTGAGATGCATTAAAGAGGCTCTACAAAATGAAGTATAAATCAAAAGTTAATTAAGTTGGATAAAGTAAACAAGATTGATAACCAGGACAATATTTAACTAATTAAGTTTGAATGTGCTCTACTTTGTTATTTTACTCTGTCTAATGCTAGATGATTTTAGTGCTCAAAGGGAAAGTGTGGGATATTAACTGCATAACTTGGCAACAGGTTGTGGCAAGGAATTAATGAGTAACCTATTTAAATGATATGAACAACTTAATAAAATCTAATAACTTGTATAAATTATGTGAAACACAGTCCTAGTGAAAACTCTTGTGCTGTCAAGATGAATCGTCTTTCGGCAGCAGGTTGTCAAGATATTGTGTCTTTCGGCAATCAGTTGGATCTTTACTGTGTTTTTATTAGTCCATTATTTTCTAAATATATAGCTACTGTAGCCTAACATACAAGGAATTAATGTGTATACCTTGTTTAAATAATATAAATATAAATAACTTAATAAGATCTAATAGCTTGTATAAACTATGTGAAACACAGCCATAGTGAAAACTCTTGTGCTGTCAAGATGAATCGTCTTTCGGCAGCAGGTTGTTAAGATATTGTGTCTTTCGGCAACCAGTTGGATCTTAACTGTGTTTTTATTGGGTGTTTGCTAAATATATACTCTAGCTAACATGGAAGGAATTAATGAGTACCATATTGAGTACACATTGTTTAAATAATATAAATAACTTAATAAAATTTAATAGCTTGTATAAACTATGTGAAACACAGCTATAGTGAAAACTCTTGTGCTGTCAAGATGAACCGTCTTTCGGCAGCAGGTTGTCAAGATATTGTGTCTTTCGGCAGCCAGTTCAATCTTAACTGTGTTTTTAACTAATAGAGTTCTGTAAATACATCATTAACAAATTTACTATTATTAAAATGCAGTATAATTACATAGCATTAAAATTGAATACAACACTATTAACATTGTCAAATCAATAATAATAATACAAAGTCGACTGCACTGGGCAAAAATTTATATTATGCTACTGCCATTAAGCTGCAGAGCTTCCCCATTGACAAGTAAAATCATCATGCGTTAGACAAGTAAAAAAAAGTAGGGCGCACTGGATTGCGCATTGCATTGCGGCTCACTGGCAAGTAAAATCATCTGGCATTAGACAAGTTAAAAAATATAAGTAGGGCGCACTGGAGCGCATTGCGACTCAATGGGTTAAATATGGATATACACAGTATATATTGAATAGCTATCCAGATCTAATGGAACATGAAATAGGTTTGAATAGTACTGAAATGTAAGTAGGCTCTCGCCATTCTTAGGACCTTAAAGTCCTAGATACTTTAAATTAATAAAGAGCACCAAAATGAGTGAATACACCACAAGATGTAAATATTTGTATCATATGAAATTGATTCTTCAATTAAATGTATTAAAACAAGTGGAGACAAGGCCATAACAAGCGTTCTTGTCTCCACAGTCTTGCGTTTGGTTCTTGGTAAAAATTATAGAATGATTTGGAATGGATTTTAGAACTGCCACTATTAAATTTATATGTTTATATGGAATGTATCAGGACATCTGGTTGGCTCACTTTAAAGTGCAGCTCTCAGCAGGTAAGACATATGATTTACTCCTAGAATTTTGTGAGTAAATCTGTTTACTAGCGACCAGGGAATTTGGGCTATGGCCATTGTTAGAATTAGTATAAACACAAGCTATAATCCTTCCTAATACTGACTTTCAATGACAGTATTATGGAATTTTATATAATATTTATAGTGCCATGAAATATAATATAAAACAAAGCGGAACTACAAAGCCTTAAAGGTTACACTAGGAAAACAGCACCAATAAATAGAATACAAACCTTTAAACAAACTATAACCACGATCGGCATTAATACAGAAACAGTTTCTTGCCAAAATCTTCGATTTATCATATATAAAATAAACACCACTCTCATCAACGCCATGTTCGAAAAAAAAGACGGAAATTGTACGCCTAAATTCGCTACTTTCCCAAAAGGCACTGGAAACTAATAACTTTTTGACCCAGTCATTAACGCACCTGAGTACATAAGAAGGTACCAACCAGAAGCGCTTATCATGCCTGGACTGGGAGAGTACCAGAACACGTCGTACAGGAGATGCGACGCTTGGAGAAAGGGATACAGAGGTGGACAGCCAGATCTCATAATAATGACTCCAAGTAATGGCTACCACGGATTCGCAATAGAGCTCAAGACTCCTAAGGGCACAGGGACAACCAGGTGTCATGGCTAAACACAGGGCGAAAAAACAGATTTGCACTAGGCTTTGCAACCCGGTGCAAAGGTGCCATTGCCGTAATCGCATCAAATTTGCAAGGTTGCAAATATTTTGGCAAATTTAGAAACCAAATTATGGACGAAAATACCCACAAATTCACGTGTGCAAATGAAAGGTAATTTGAGCCAAATTTATCCTATACCCATTCCCTCTCAAAAAAGAGAATTGTATTTACCAATATCAGGGTAAAAATTTATTTACCAATTTGCTTTCCAAATTTGAACAAAATTTGCACAATAGCAAATTTGATGCGATTACGGCAATGGCACCTTTGCAGGGGGTTGCAAAGTTGGAGCAAATCTATTTTTTCGTCCTGTGAAAGGCGCTAAATGAAAGTGGATACCAGACATTAATATCTAATGATTACACAGAGATAGTGCTGGATATAGAGGATTACTTTAGGGTCAACAAAACAGAGAAATTTCTAAAGGAAATAAAGAATCTAAAGGTAAAGTGTAAAACTCTGAAGTCCAGTAAGGAAATCATAGTTAGACGAATCGGTTACACGGTAGGTAAGTACTAGAGTGGAAATTATAGTAACACTTAGAAAATGTTCGGCGAATACAGTCGGGCATTTTTTAAGCAATCCCATCTGTGTAGACATCTATGTAGACATCTATGTAGACATCTATGTAGATCTATGTAGTTAAACATATGGTACCTATATAGAATGGCTGATGAATCTGATACAAAGAAAGTTCCTGTTACAAGTGAAAAGAAGAAATACCCGAAGAGGGTAGAGGCTGGAAAGAGGCTAGCGATTTTGAGTAAAGCTGCAAGGGAGAGGAAGATGAAGGAGGTGGCTAAACCTAAGGAGTCGTCTAGTAATGACAGTACGATTACCTACATAGGAGTGGTTATTGCATTGACATCCCTAGTGCTAGCATATAAAACACATCAGAGGGAAACTAGGGAACCAGAACCTGAGTACATCCCTAAAACTGTAGAAGTAACTAAGAGGGCTGATGAGTCCAAGTTAGATTCACTTGAATGATACACTAAACATACCATATATTATAACAAAATGAGTAAGGTAAATACTGACGATGTTGCGGACAGATTAGAGATGGGAGGTGAAGTGTACGATGCATTACTACTTACAGCTGGAGCAATTGGAGTTTCAATGGCATCTAAGAAACTACTGAAGGAACCGTTAGGTACACCAGAGAACACAAAGGGAATGTTAAAGTTAGCTGTCTCTGTTAGTCTTTCATCCCTACTGGTGGCGTACCTGAAGAAACATAAGTTTATCCCTGATAATTCAACTAAACCTGTAGAGAAGAAGGATATCTGAAACATCGGTAAAACTATACAATGGCGAGTGCAGTAGCAGGAGTACTCTTCAATGCATTTGCATTTGCGGGAGCAGGATACCTATTTAAAATGTTTGATAAGAACGGATACGCTGAGAAGCTAAGAGACATAACCTTGCAATGGAGAACCTAACAGCTGAAAGAGAAAAGTACCTTCAGGAGGTTACTGATAGGAGAAATAGGATTGCTCAGCTGAATTCAGAACTAGCTGAGGCAAATAGTAATATTAAATCAACGAACCAATCATTGGAACTCGTCAGAAGAATCAATGAAATAAGACGTAAGGCTATGCCAAGGAAGCCGCAATTGAGTAATCACTACAAACCTAGCTCTGAGATGGAAGAATACAAGGCAATCTTTGGTTTAATTGCAGGTGGGGTGGTTGAAGGGGCAGCTTATTTAATGCTATAGAAAATGCCATAAAAATTTTCACACCTATAAGTATAGAGAAATGGAATGGTTACAGATGGCAACACCTGAGGAGATGGCACATGTAGGTAAAAAGGTAAATACAGTGAAAGAGTTAGAGGCTGCTGTGAGGAAGCACGCAGAGAGTAGAATAAAGAGAAAACACACATATGATCCAATATGTAGCGAATGTGGGAGTAAGTCTATTGTAATTATAGATGGAGCAGATACATGCACACAGTGTGGTTCCAGTGATATGAATAACTTCTCATACTACGTTAGTTACAACTACAACAAGGACGACTATCTGCAGAAGAAGTCTTGTCACAATAGAGTCCGTTGGTTTCAGAGACACTTATTCGAACATGTTGCTTCTAGGGATAGGGACATCATAAGGGAGCAGTTTAGAAGCATCGTAGATGTATACAAAGACTTAGACTGCAAAGGGGGCGCAACATAGTCAGATACAAGTTTTACCTACTGAGGATAGCTAGTATGAATGGTATCACTTTGAGGAACCCTCCCGGAGACATTAAAACTCAAAGGATAGGGGACATCCTTGAGGATAGGTTGTATGGGAAAGTTTTTGTTGAGCTTGGATGGAAGCCTGAAAAATGTAAATATTATAATAAATGGAAAATGAAGAATTTATTACAATAAATGATTAATTTTAATATAATAAAAATAAATTATTAATTTTAATGCAATAAAAATAAATGATTAATTTTAATATAATAAAAATAAATGATTAATTTATTGGGAAAATAATTGGGGTATTTAATTGGTAATAAATTATTAATTAAATAACCCAATTTTTTTTACACATATAGTATATACGAAGAGTTGAAAAATATGGCGGGTAACTTTAACATGAACGAATTCAGTGTAGAACAACTTTTGGCTCTCCACAGTATCATAGACAGTGATGAGGATACAGATACAAGAGTAGAAGACATGCTGAAGGATAGAAACTACAGGATCACTCCTGACGATAAGGGTGAAAGTCCATTCCAAGAAGAAAGACAATTTGTAGATGAAGTTGACCGTTATATGGAAACAAAGAAACCAAGACGTATTCTTAAAACTATAAGGGTAGAAGAGGAATTATGCCAACATGGAAGTACTCTGACAGACAAAAGGCTAAGGCGCTACTTGTAGAGGAGGCATACCAGAGTTTACTATCAAAGGGTGTTCAGCGGTTACCTCCAACGATGGGAGGTAGATGGCGTACAGACGATGTTCTTGTTGATGAGGAAATTAAGAGAATCGATAACGAAAGGAATCCTAACGTAAAGCGTCCCAGAGGTAGACCACCAAAGGCAAAGGTTGATGCTGAAGTGAAGGTGCCAAAGAAGAGGGGCAGACCACCAAAGGTAAAGACTGATGCTGAAGTGAAGGTGCCAAAGAAGAGGGGCAGACCACCAAAGGTAAAGACTGATGCTGAAGTGAAGATACCTAAAAAGAGAGGTAGACCACCAAAGGTAAAGGTTGATGCTAAGGTTAGAAAGCAAACTGGAGCAGAAAGATTCCTGAATCAGAGGAAGGTAAAACTCTCAGTGCCAGCAGATAGTGTCATAACTCCAACAGGTCCAGGTAAGTTCAAAGTTCACGCGGATCTTAATAAGAGACCTGTGAGAAAAGCTCCTGAGGTGCCTAAGGGTGTAGTTCCGTGGAAACCGATACCTAAGCCTAGAACGGTACTTCCTAGGGAAAACCTGTACCGAAACCTAGAACTAAGCTACTTAATGAAAGACCTGTACCGAAACCTAGGACTAGGAAACCAGTGTCTCCTCCTAAGGTCCGTAAGCCTGTAAGGGTGTCGAGGGAAGTCAAGGAGCAGCCTACAGTGGTTACCCACGAGGGACAAGAAATTGATCCATTTGGAACAGACCTTGAAAAGCCATTCCACAGGAAAATCGAAATAGCCGCAAACGGAGCCGCCGTGACTTACTCAATAATTCCTCATTATATGGACCCTCTGGACCAGATGACTGCAAGTAGACAGGTAGTGAGAGGAATACTTGTGAATGAGTTGAAGAGAATGGGTGGGCTGAAGTACACAGAGACTCTGAAGGTGAGAATGTCAAGGGAAATTGGTGATGGAAAAACCAGGAAGGACTCAGTCTACTTCAAATCTAAGACTGGTACTGCAACTAACTTCGAGGACATTGAAAGTACTGCTGCTCAAAACCAACTGACAATATTGTCTAGGATTGAAACCTTCCAAAACCTAGGTTCAAACTGGATTATACTCAATATTGAGAGTCATTATGTGAACATTGCAATGTACAAACCACTAGCTGGGAGTACATACATGGAACTTCCTAAGGACATTAGTAATTCAATGTGTGGACTCATTAATATGAAGAATGATGACGACATGTGCTTTATGTGGTGTCATGTGAGACATCTAAATCCTAGGGCTAGGAGGGCAACCACTATTACCAAAAAGGACAGGGAATTCAAAATGAACCTGGATTATGAAGGTATTGACTTCCCCGTGAAGATAAGAGATATTGATAAGATTGAGAGGAAAAATAGTATCAACATATCAGTGTTCGGTTTATTATTATTATTATTATTAAAGGTTTATTAAGAAACACATTTTGGAACCCGAAGGTGAATTGCAATATGCTTACAGAAACATAATAAAAGATGAGTATCAAATAATATAAATATAAATATATCGTATATGTACAGTTGTTATAATACTACAAATTATTTACTATTAAAATTAGCAGTCATTGCTGGTATAAAACTAGTTTTAAAACGTTCCGTTCTGCATTTAGTTAATGTGAAGTTAGAATTGTTTCTTAAGTCCAGTTCATGCGATTCTTCACGGAGTGGGGGTAAGAGGTGGTTGAGGTGAGCATCGGGTTTTAAGATCTTTTTGAATGTTTTAGCACATAGCTCTTGACGTCTGTCGACAAGGCGCTTGCATTTAGCGATGTTGAGAGCATCTTCGTAATCTGTTGTCGGATAAATAATACGGAAAGCTCTTTTTTGAACTTTTTCAATTTTATCCCCCAAACACTTTGGTAACATGGTGTGCCAGACAGGACAGGCATATTCTAAGATAGAGCGCACCATAGAAAAGTAGACTAGTAAGAGGTCATTGGGGGGAAGACCACAGCGCTGTAGGACACGAATAATGTATAAGCGTTTTGAGGCCTTTTAAGTAACGCTTCAGTGTTATCTTGCCATTTAAATTTATTGTTCATGGTTAAGCCCAAAATTTTGAAAGAAGGAACTAAGTCTAGAGGTAAACCATCAATGAGGAGTCGGGGGATGTCATTCTCGCTACGGACGAAACTCACTATCATTTCTTTGCATTTCTTTCCGTTCAATTTCATGTTGTTATTAACAGTCCATCTTTCAATTGTGTTAAGATCAGATTGTAGGACTGAAACTTCATTTTTCTTTAAGGACTCCGATATTGTTACGTCATCCACGTATTTCCAATGGTCAGTGCTAGAGGATGCCAGTTCAAGATCGTTGATCATAATTATGAACAAAATAGGGCCCAATTTGGTTCCTTGAGGGACACCTGCGTTATTGATGCCCCAATCAGATTGGAAATTGTCGATCTTTACCGATTGACGGCGATTTGAGAGAAAGCTGCATATCCATGGAATAAGCGACAATCTGACGCCAAGGGCCAGCAACTTTGGGACCAGGATATTATGGTCGATGCGGTCGAACGCTTTACTAAAATCGAGGAAAACGATCCGCAGATAGCTCGATTTATCATCCAATGTTCTTAGCCAATTGTTGATCATATCGATCAAGCAAAACGTTGTAGAGGTTCCTTTAAGGCAACCAAATTGTTGCGGGTTGATTTTATGTTTCACGTCATCCACCATCCAATTGACCACAAAGTCCTCAAGAATTTTGGACAAAGAGGCTGTAAGGGAGATTGGGCGCAACTCCTCCTCACAGGATACGGATGGCGCTTTAGGAATTGGTGTAATTAATGCATCTTTCCATATGTTAGGGAATTCACCAGTGGACAGAGATGTATTAAAGATGTGACATACAGGTTCGGCCAATTCGTACGCGAAATCCTTAATAATCCGGTTAGGAATATTGTCAGGACCGCTGGATTTGAAAACTTTTGTATTGAGCATCTTAGTGCAAACTTCGTCAGGGAAAATTTTTGGTACAGGCCTTGGTGCAGGGAGAAAGGCAGGTAGCAGGAGAGGATTCAGTGGTGGTAGGTCATTACTCACGCTTAAGAAATAGGTGTTAAGTGATTGGGCGAGATCTTTACCAGATAGAGTGGTACACTGGATTTTAGGTGTTGTACCTTGTTCGTATAATATGCACGGTTTTTCACTCCTATGTCGTTTCGGACATTAAGTCTATAGTGACGCCAGAGGTCAAGGTTACCAGAATGAAAGGCTTTTTGCCTTTGATAAATCAGTTTTTTAATGCAGGCGTCATCCATGGTTTGTCAGAGTAATGAATTCTAATAACCTTAGATGGGAATAACCTATCAACAGCAGAATTTAACTCGTTGGTAAAGGAGGACGCTAGAGCGGTCGCAGAGTTTTTGCTTTCGGCATCAGAGAACCACTCACGTGAGCAGCACCATCTTCCAAAAGCTGCACGTGCCGACATGGGGAAGGAACGTATGTTTTTCTTAATTGTTTTATTATCTGTTCTTAAAACGTTAGTTTTCGCGGACCATTTAACCATGTTGTGATCTGATGAGCCGAGCGGTGCTATAATCACAGGCTTAGAATACAAGGCATCTAGATTAGTAACAATTAGATCCAAGATGTTACCTTCACGCGTTGGGGTGTCCACTATTTGCGTAAGATTGTGATGGCACAGGAGATCGCTGATATCTAAATTGTTGAAATCACCGAGTAAGACAACACCGCAGTCGGGGTGGGTACATCTAACTCGGTCAATCTGTTCGATAAGATAGGCCGTTAATTCCTTTTGCTCATTGACTGGTGTATCAGGCGGGTTATATAGGACACAGCAGATTAATCCAGTTAGGTGTCTTGGGAGGCGGTGGGGTCGTAGCCATAACCATAAGCATTCATGAGAGGGGTTTTCAAGGTCCATTCTTCTTTTAGCTGGGATATATTTGTCGAGATGAAAGCGCAGACACCCCCAACACGGCTGTAAGATCTATCATTGCGAAAAATGTTGCAATTATTTATGTAAATTAGTTGCTCAGGAACAGTATCTTTGAGCCACGTTTCAGTTACAGCAATAAACTCTATAGAATGTATTGATAGTAAGAGGGATAGCTCGTCTATTTTGGGTAACAGTGAGCGAGCATTTATAAGAAGAAAACTCGGTAATCTTGATATGTTGTTTCGGTTCATAGCCTGGTCATGTATTGAAGTACTGACTAATTTCAGTTGTCTATGATTATTAATGTAGTTAACGACGGTTTTTGAACGGTTGTTAGTAATTCTCAAAGGGATCTTGCGAGTATTAGCGCTAACGACAGGGATTATACCAGTGTTTCTGCATACCGTGCCCTGCAATAGGGGGGGATTTGGAAGGTGTAGGGAGGGCATAAAGGGGTCTCCACTAGCGGTTTCGGGGGAGATTGAAAAAACCCCGGTCCATTGGGGTGCCATTGAACGCTTTGATTGTAACCGGACCAGTGTTTTCTTTGTTGCGGGACTATAGGCTGTCGATTGTCGTAAAAAGGCGGAGGAGTAGGATAGTTCTTGATAGGCCTTATTGGCTGTATGCTATGAGGAAAAGTGGCGCAATGAAAAAAATCGCACCTAGTGCCCTTAAGGCAGAAGCGTCGCTTTTGTAGGAAAGGACAGGGCACCAAATGTTTCTGTTCTTCATGCGGATGTTTGAAGTTGTTGTATATTCATATCCGGTTAGTCACTTCCTGTTTTATGTAATATAAATAAGCCAGCTTCTCTGTGGCAATGTACAACAACAATAAAATATATAGTCAAAGTATACTTCACAATCCTTATCAATCTGAGAGTTAGATCGAGTCAAGACAACATAACATGGTGGCAGCGATTGGGATAAAAACCCCAGCTTGTTAATGTGAGCGATTTTTCGACACCAGCGATAGAGACGAAAGAAATATTGGACAAAACATTTCGATACAAAACACTCGAAAATGGCGTTCAGTGCACCGTTTTCAGCACCTCAAATGGATTGGGAAACTAACGACTCGATCTTAGCTTTTGGCAAATTCAAGCAAAAATGTGAGCTGATGTTCAAAAGTATACTCAAAGACGCTGAAGGAGAAGAACAAGTCAGCTATATCCTGCTATGGGTTGGCGAGCAAGGTCTCGACATCTACAACAGTTGGACATTCGATGACGTGAAAGACCAAAAAGACCCAGCGAATATTCTCGATAGATTTATGGAACATTTGGAGCCACGGACAAATCATCGAATTCACAGGTATACTTTACAAGGTATGCGACAAGACCAAGGTGAGTCAATCGATAATTTTATTGCCAAGATTAAAAATATCGCAGCCAAATGCAAGTTTAATGGCAATGAAGAAATCGAGGACAGATTATTAGATCAATTAATTTGGGGTACAAATGATCTTGAAGTTCAGAAATCCTTAATTGGACGCGATGAAAAACTAACATTAAATACTGCCATAGATATTGCTAGAAGTTATGAAGCAACGAAGCGTCAAATGAATTCATCATCAAATCAAAATAAGGGAAATCCCCCAGCGAATTGATAACATTACTCGCAAGAAATTGAACGCTGATAATAAAAATCATAATAATATTATTCAGTGTAGAAATTGTGGCAAAACTCACAAACTGCCACATAAAGGGAACTGTCCAGCCCATGGTACCACATGTAGGAATTGTGGCCAATTAAATCACTGGCAATTAGTATGCAAATCACCTAAGAGCCAACATAGATCAAAGTCCCCATACCGAAAAAACAAAAAATCCATTAATAGTCTTGAGAAACAAAATGAGGCTGACCCGTATACAGATATCCCAACAATTGGCACTATTGAAATAAATAGTGTGGAAAATCATAATAATACTACTAGTGAAGAAATATTTACTACCCTACGTGTTAACCGTAAGAATAATGGAGATATAAATTTAAAATGCAATGTAGATACGGGTGCTCAGAGCAATGTATTGCCAATTCATTTGTTTCGTGTTCTATATCCTGAATTAATTAATGCAGAAGGAATGCCCAGGGACGGTGCTCCGCAAAGAAGTGATGTTATTTTAACTGCATATGGGGGATCTGAGATTACCCAATTTGGAAAAATACTGATACCATGTCAACATAAAAGGGGGAAATTTAACTGTATTTTTTACATAACTGATGCAGTAGGACCAGCTATATTGGGAATAAAAGCGTGTAGAGCCCTTGAACTGGTTTCACTTCATTGTGCACTGGAAACAAAAAGTGTGCAAGGAAAGAACGTCTCTCGAGATGTTGCCCAGGGGCCTAGCAAAGAGGAAGTAAAGCCCAGTAAGACTGTTAGATTTGCAGATCAAGCAAAGATAATAAATCAGCAACAAATCGGTCCAGAAATTATATTAAACCTTCTGTGCCAATAACAAGCCGTCCTCGTATAAAGGACAAAGAGCATCTGATTGAGATGTACCCAGAATGTTTTGACGGGTCAGTTGGATGTTTTGAAGATTACACTTACCATATTACCCTAGATCCTAAAGTTCAACCAGTTGTTCATGCACCTCGCAGAGTACCATTAGAACTGGTAGATAAACTAAATTTCGAACTTAATGAGATGGAAAAGAACGGGGTAATAGAAAAAGTAACAAAACCTACCGATTGGGTTAATTCTATAGTTATAAGAGAAAAGCCCAATGGAAGACTTCGTTTATGTCTTGACCCTAAAGACTTAAATGAAGCAATCATGAGGGATCATTACCCAACACCCACCTTAGAGGAAATCACCCCAAAGTTAGCTGGAGCTAGGGTATTCAGCAAAATAGATGCTCGTAACGGATACTGGAATGTTAAGTTGGATGACGAATCATCCTATCTAACCACTTTCAACACACCGAATGGTCGTTATAGATTCCTTAGGATGCCATTTGGTCTTCGAATGAGCCAAGATGTTTTTCAATTCAAGATCGATGAAACTTATCGGAACTGTCCTGGTGCTACTGGGATCGCAGACGATATCACAGTCCATGGCCGAGATGAATCAAATCACGATCTACATCTTCATGATGCAATGGAACGTACAAGAATGGCTGGCATCAAACTCAACCAAGAGAAGTGCATCATCAAGACGTCCGAATGCAGTTTTTTTGGTATGGTATACACCTCGAGTGGAGTCAAACCAGATCCAGAGAAAGTCATAGCCATACAGAACATGGAACCACCCAAAGATAAGAAAGAACTTCACACGTTCCTTGGTATGGTCAACTACTTGGCGTCATTTATGCCTAACTTGGCGAGTCACACGGCACCTTTGAGGGAGTTACTCCGGGATAACGTTGATTACCGATGGTCCCCATCCCATACAAGAGCTTTTGACATATTCAAGTGTCAACTAAGCACAGAAAGTACACTCTCTCACTACGACAGAAGCAAAGCAGTTGTGCTACAAGTAGACGCATCAAGTAAAGGCTTGGGAGCCGTCTTATTACAAGAGAATAAGCCCATTGCCTTTGCATCGAAAGCTCTAAGTCCTGCTGAGAGTCGGTATGCCAACATCGAGCGTGAGTTATTGGCGGTGGTGTATGGTTGTGAGAAGTTTCACACATACTTATATGGAAGGCAATTTGTTGTGAAAAGTGATCATCGTCCTTTGGAACAGATCCAGAAGAAGAATCTCGACATGGCACCTCCTCGACTTCAACGAATGCTCCTACGCTTGCAACCATACGATTGTATCATCAAATATAAGCCAGGCAAAGAGATGGTGATAGCAGATACACTTTCGAGACTGTCACCAAGGGAGGGAGACGAAATCCCTGGAATGCAAGTGAAAATTCATCATCTAGTGGAGTTCTCACCTGTCGAACTCCAACAGATAAAAGACGAAACTGCTAAAGATGGAACTCTTCAAATCCTCACCGAGCAAGTTATGCAAGGATGGCCTGATAGCATAAAGAAAACTCAGCAAGCAATAAAGCCTTACTGGAATAACCGAGATGATATCTCTATTCAAGAGGGAGTTCTACTATTAGGAAGTAGAATAATTGTTCCAAAATCACTCCGGCAGAAGATATTGCAAGAAATCCACAGTGGTCATCAAGGGATGGAGAAGTGAAAACTCCGCGCAAAATCCTGTGTCTATTGGCCTGGTATATATAAAGAGATTGAGAATATGGTGGCGTCCTGTTGTGCCTGCAAGAATTTCCAGAATTCTCAGCAGAAGGAGCCCATGATTCCAAGTGAAGTACCGCCAAGACCATGGTACACTGTGAGTGCAGACCTGTTCAAGGTAAATAATTTCTGGTACATAGTTATCGCTGACTATTATTCGAAGTTTCCATTCGTGAAGAAGTTGAATAATCTAACAGCAACCACTGTAGTTAATGTGGTTCGATCAATATTTTCTGAGCAAGGCATACCAGAAACCCTGATTTGTGATAATGGAATCCAATTCACTTCTGCCCAATTTCATGACCTAGCGAAGAGATATGGTTTCAGAGTGGTGACTTCGTCACCGTACTACCCAAAGGGTCATGGCTTCATTGAGAGACAGGTCCAAACTGTGAAGAAGATCCTGTTGAAATGCAAAGAATCAGGAACTGATCCTAGTCTTGCATTGCTGTCGTTACGTTCTACACCGTTAAGTGCAACACTCAAATCTCCAGCAGAGCTACTAAATGGAAGAATGTTCAAGACAACATTACCAGTAAAGATTCATCCACCAAACGATTGGCACGAAACCAGAGACTTGTTATTAACACAACAAAAGAAACAAGTCAATCTATATAACAGGGATTCGAAAGAGAAACCAAATCTCTTTCAAAATCAAGCTGTACAAGTTCAAGACCCTCTTAAAAAAACATGGAGTCCAGCGAGAGTAGTTGGGTTCGGACCAACTCCTCGTTCCTATATTACGGAAGATGAATCCGGAGTTCAAATACGGAGGAATAGACAGTTAATCAAGCGTGACATCCAGAAGACACCTGGACCAACAAGTCCTGCAGCTGTGAAAGATAACCAAAGTGAAAAGAGAAATGTTGAGATACCTGATCGACCAGAAGTTCGAACACGCTCAGGTCGTATAATTAAAAAGCCGGATAGGCTAATGTATAAGTAGATAGTATCGAACAGTCCCAATGTATAAGTAGTTAGTATCGAACAGTCGTAAATAAGAACACGATCGGTAAGATTTATGCATTAATACAAATACTATTAGTTAGAATTATAAATTAGAACATTTGATAAAAACAATCTGAAGGTAAACAATCTAGAGATATATAAATAATACTAAATATAATTTTTATGTAAAATTAAGAAAACTTGTAAAAATATCTTAAAGAAAGGAGGAAGTTGCATATTCATATCCGGTTAGTCACTTCCTGTTTTATGTAATATAAATAAGCCAGCTTCTCTGTGGCAATGTACAACAACAATAAAAATATAGTCAAAGTATACTTCACAATCCTTATCAATCTGAGAGTTAGATCGAGTCAAGACAACATAACAGAAGTCACATCGGTTTCCTTTTGCGCACCACCCTCGGCGCCTAATGAATGGAGAGGGGGTGTTGTGCTTTGCTCGAGGGTGTCGATTATTGCCCAAGTTATTCTGGTTGTCAGGTTGTGGATTGTATATTATGTTAATCCCTTTTTTCGATTTGGTAGTTAGGTCTATTGTCACGCGCTGATTGTCATGAGAAACTGGAACTTGTGTACTATTGAGCAATGAGCGGTTTTCATTAGTTGAAATTTCATTAAAACTTGGATTGTTAATACTCAGATTAGTGGGTTGGTCATTAACTTGGGATTCACATTGGTCATTAACTACATTAGTCATTATGTTAATCCGTTCATTCCGCTGGGTAGCTAGATCATTGTCAAGCGCTGCTTTTCATGGGGATCCGGAACTTGTGTACCATTAATTAAGCAGAGAGGAGTTTTCCTTGGTTGAAGTTTCAATAAACCTCGAATTGTTGGCAATCAAATTAGTCGGTTGGTCTTTGTCGTGGAATCCACATTGGTCATTAACCTGGGTTGTACTGGCAGACTCATTAGCACGTTCATTATTCACATGGTCATGGAAGATTACTTTATAAGTTAAATTTTTAAAAGAGGATAATTTAGATTTTAAAATTAAATTATCTTCTGAGAGCTTGAGAATTGCGTCATCCTGATGTCGGATGACACCTTCTAGATCTTTGACTTTAAATTTAAATTTAAGCGAGCAAATGTCTGACTTATTCTCCTTTATGGTATTGAGTAGCCGGGTTTCCAAAATTACCATCTCGAGTTTTATACCCTCTATAACTACAGAGCAAGTACTGTTATGACTAGATACCTCGTTTTCAATGATGCGTGACGAACCTCGATCAGTATTCGCTTCCATGTTAAGATCGTTGTTGATAGTCTTCTCCACGTCGTCTGGCTTTGAGAGGATATTTTTTATTCGCTTTACCAAATTTCCCGCTTTGACTCCGTCAAAAATTATTGCTCCACTCTTCGAGTGCCACGTAATCTCAAGATCTTCGCAGGTGAAACACCACTTGCCGCCGCTTGGTGATCGCCAGACGGCGCTTTCTGCGGCTTTTTCATTGATTATTGTTGACACAAATGTTTTTAAGTCATTTAGGGTTCCACTCCATGTTAATTTGTTTTTCTTTTGGCCGAAGAAAGCCATCAAACTCGCTGTCGATAAATTCAGAAAGATATTATCAGAAAGGTTTTATCAGAGAGCTCATCACAGAGCTCCTTACAGCACGCCATGATGCTCATGATCAAAGGGTAAAATAAGGGTAATAAGCAGTTCTACCCCATAAGGATCTCAAAGGCTACATATGATGAGCATATGGAGCTTCTACTCCTGGGTGATGGTGAAGGTAGTAGACATTACGTGCTTATAAAGGATGTAAACAGAATGCTGTGTAGTGTGAGTAAGCATGGACACAAGCAACACTTCTGCTTACACTGTCTTCATAGTTGCGTTAGCGAGGAGGTACTGGAGAAGCATAAAGAAACATGTCTGGAGGTAAATGGAACTCAGGCTGTAAAGCTTCCCAAGGAAGGGACAAAAATAAAGTTCAAAAATCATAGGAACTCAATGCCTGTGCCGTTTGTGATATACGCTGATTTTGAGTCCATACTGGTGCCTGAGGAGAGAAAAGAGAAGTCAGAGAACCCTGAGGATGAAAGTAGTACGGACCTTTACCAGACACACAAGGCTTGTAGTTTTGGTTTGAAAACAGTCTGCCACTATGATGATAAGTACTCCGGTGAGTATAAGAGTTACGTTGGAAGTGACGCTGCATTGGTCTTCCCAAAGACTGTAGTAAAAGTGTCCTTCAGATGTAGGGAAATGACTGACAAAATATTCAGGAAGAAAATGGTAATTATACCCAAAGAGGAAGCAGAATTCCTGGTTACAAGAAACTGACACATATGTGGTAACGACCTATGTGAGGACCGTGTGAGAGACCATGACCATGTAACAGGTAAGTACCGCGGAGCTGCTCACAATATATGCAATCTTAAGTATAGAATTACATGGAAAGTACCTGTGGTCTTCCACAACCTTAGAGGTTATGATAGTCATCTGATTATGCAGGAAATTGGTAAGTTCAAGATGGATGTTAATGTGATCCCAAATAATATGGAAAAATACATCTCATTCTCACTGGGTAAGAATCTGGTCTTCATAGACTCTATACAGTTCATGGCTTCTTCACTGGAAGCACTGGTAAGCAACCTTTCACATGAGGACTTCAGGATAGTAGGTAAGAGGTGGAAGGGCGAGGACTTCAATCTAGTGACACAAAAAGGAGTGTTCCCATATGAGTTCCTAGATGATATTAGCAAACTCAATAAAGAAGGTCTTCCGAGCAAGGATAAGTTCTACTCGTTACTGTATGAGTCAGAGGTGAAGGAAGAAGATTACCAGAGAGCTCAGAAAGTATGGGATCACTTCAACATGAAAACCATGAGAGATTACCATGATCTCTACTTAGAGACTGACGTTCTTCTGCTGGCTGATGTATTCGAAAACTTCAGGAGAACATGTCCGGAAAGTTATAAACTTGACCCAGCACATTATGTGTCAGCACCTAGTCTGAGTTGGGACGCTTTCCTGAAAAAGTCAGGTGAAGAAATAGAACTCGTAAGCGATATGGATATGTTCCAGTTCTTTGAGAAGGGTATGAGAGGTGGTACAAGTTATATTGCCCATAGACACTCCGCAGCTAATAATAAGTACATGGAGACGTACGATGAGTCGTCTGAGAACAAGTACCTAATGTACCTCGACGCTAATAATTTATATGGCTGGGCGATGTCACAACCACTACCTAACGGAGAGTTCGAGTGGGTTGAGGAGTTGACGGTATGAATCTAGAGGATTACTTGGGAGACGACGGAAGAGGGATGGTTCTGGAGGTTGACCTGGAATATCCACAAGAACTTCACGACCTACACAACGGTTATCCTCTAGCACCGGAGAGTACGGAAATCAGTGCTTCTATGTTGTCAGATTATGCGAAGAGTATTGCTGAGAAATTCCAACTGACAATTGGAGGAGTAAGAAAACTAGTGACTTCACTAGGCCCCAGAAAGAAGTATGTTTTACATGTACGTAATCTGAAACTGTACACAGACCTTGGGATGAAACTCACGAAGGTCCATAGAGCGGTTACATTCAAGCAGTCTCCCTGCCTTAAGGACTATATAGACTTCAATACGAAGAAAAGATCAGTAGCCCGTACCACGTTCGAAAAGAACTTCTTCAAGTAGATGAACAACTCGATCTACGGAAAGACTATGGAGAATCTTAGGAAAAGGGTTGATGTGAAATTAGTGTCCTCCAAAGACGACCTCCTAAAACTGACAGCATCACCGTGCTTCCAGTCACACCGAATCATGAATGAGAATCTTATAGTTGTAAAAAGGATGAAAGAAGTGCTAACGCTGAATAAGCCGTGTTATGTGGGAAGGAGCACCTTAGACTTATCTAAGATTTTAATGTACAATTTCCACTACAACACAATTAAGAAGGAGTACGGTAATAGTTGGAGGTTACTGTTCACCGATACTGACAGTCTGATGTACGAACTGAAGACGGATGATGTCTATGAGTACTTCAGGAGGATCGGCGAAGAGCAGGATTGCTGGGATAATTCAGATTACCCAAAAGACAGCCCTTACTACTCAACCCATAACAAGAAGGTTATTGGTAAGTTTAAGGATGAAGCTGGAGGAGTACATATAATTGAGTTTATTGGGTTAATTTAAGGTCAAAAATGTACTCCTATCTCGAGGAAAATGGTGGAGGTGGAATGGCAGCTAAAGGGGTTAAGAAGTATGTCATCAGAAACAGGCTCACTCATGAGAACTTCAAGAATGTAATCAACACGAAGGGTAGGATGAGACACAACATGAATACAATCAGGAGCACGAAGCATACAATCGGAACTTGTGAAATGAGGAAGGCTACTCTGAGTTGCTTCGATGATAAAAGGTATCTTTTGGAGGATGGAGTTACCAGTTATGCTTATGGAAACAAGAATATAAAAAATAGTGAATGAGAAGATCCCACAGAGTAGAAAGTAATAATCTTAAAAGGGTAAATAAGCAGGAAGGGCCCCCTGACCTATGTACCCCAGGAGAAAATAAAAGTTGTCGAAGAGGCTATAGAATAAGAAAATTGGACGATATTGGGAAAGTCTAGAATCACACATAAGATAATCATACTAAAGTCTCAGCTGGACTGATAAGGTGATCCCGAAACTCTGAGATAAGTTAAATGTAAAACATTTCGCACAGACCTCAGAATAGCAGTTTCACATTCTAAAATAAATGGACCGTGGAACTGCTGAAGTCGAGAACACTCGTTGAGGAGCGGGACCATTAATTTTTGCTGAAGGCAAAAATTAGTGGTCTCGCTCCGAAACTAGTGGTCTCGCTTCGGCAGTTCCTATACTACTCGTGTTTATAACGTCGACGTCATAAACACCAAAGTTGATCGTGTTTATGACGTCGAATATCGACGTCAAAAACACCTAAGTTGATCGTGTTTATGACGTCCACTATCGACGTCAAAAACATCTAAGTTGATCGTGTTTATTACGTCGAATATCGACGTCATAAACACCAAAGTTGATCGCGTTTATGACGTCGAATATCGACGTGATAAACACCTAAGTGGATCGTGTTTAAGACATCGAATATCGACGTCATAAACATCTACGTTGATCGTGTTTATGACGTCGAATATCGAAGTCATAAACATCTAACTTGATCGTGTTTATGACGTCGAATATCGACGTCATCAACATCAAAGTTGATCGTGTTTATTACTTCGAATATCGACGTCATAACTACCAAAGTTGATCGTGTTTACGACATCGAATATCGACGTCATAAACATCTAAGTTGATCGTGTTTATGACGTCGAATATCGACGTCATAAACACCTAAGTTGATCGTGTTTATGACATCGAATATCGACGTCAAAAACATCTATGTTGATCGTGTTTATGACGTCGAATATCCAAGTCATAAACATCTAAGTTGATCGTGTTTATGACGTCGAATATCGACGTCATAAACACCAAAGTTGATCGTGTTTATTACGTCGAATATCGACGTCATAAACACCAAAGTTGATCGTGTTTATAACGTGGACGTCATAAACACCAAAGTTGATAGTGTTTATGACGTCGAATATCGACGTGATAAACACCTAAGTGGATCGTGTTTATGACATCGAATATCGACGTCATAAACATCTACGTTGATCGTGTTTATGACGTCGAATATCGAAGTCATAAACATCTAACTTGATCGTGTTTATGACGTCGAATATCGACGTCATAAACATCAAAGTTGATCGTGTTTATTACTTCGAATATCGACGTCATAACCACCAAAGTTGATCGTGTTTACGACATCGAATATCGACGTCATAAACATCTAAGTTGATCGTGTTTATGACGTCGAATATCGACGTCATAAACACCTAAGTGGATCGTGTTTATGACATCGAATATCGACGTCAAAAACATCTACGTTGATCGGGTTTATGACGTCGAATATCGAAGTCATAAACATCTAAGTTGATCGTGTTTATGACGTCGAATATCGACGTCATAAACACCAAAGTTGATCGTGTTTATTACGTCGAATATCGACGTCATAAACACCAAAGTTCATCGTGTTTATAACGTGGACGTCATAAACACCAAAGTTGATAGTGTTTATGACGTCGAACATGGACGTCATAAACATCAAAGTTGATCGTGTTTATGACGTCGAATATCGACGTCATAAACACCAAAGTTGATCGTGTTTATAACGTCGACGTCATAAACACCAAAGTTGATCGTGTTTATGACGTCGAATATCGACGTCATAAACACCTAAGTTGATCGTGTTTATGACATCGAATATCGACGTCAAAAACATCTATGTTGATCGGGTTTATGACGTCGAATATCGAAGTCATAAACATCTAAGTTGATCGTGTTTATGACGTCGAATATCGACGTCATAAACACCAAAGTTGATCGTCTTTATAACGTGGACGTCATAAACACCAAAGTTGATAGTGTTTATGACGTCGAACATCGACGTCATAAACATCAAAGTTGATCGTGTTTATCACGTCGAATATCGACGTCATAAACACCAAAGATAATCGTGTTTATAACGTCGACGTCATAAACACCAAAGTTGATCGTGTTTATGACGTCGAATATCGACGTCATAAACACCTAAGTTGATCGTGTTTATAACGTCGACGTCATAAACACCAAAGTTGATCGTGTTTATGACGTCGAATATCGACGTCATAAACACCTAAGTTGATCGTTTTCATGATGTCGAACATCGACGTCATAAACACCAAAGTTGATCGTGTTTATCACGTCGAATATCGACGTCATAAACACCAAAGTTGATCGTGTTTATAACGTCGACGTCATAAACACCAAAGTTGATCGTGTTTATGACGTCGAATATCGACGTCATAAACATCTAAGTTGATCGTGTTTATAACGTCGAATATCGAAGTCATAAACACCAAAGTTGATCGTGTTGATGACGTCGAATATCGAACTCATAAACACCAAAATTGATCGTGTTTATGACGTCGAATATCGACGTCATAAACATCTAAGTTGATCGTGTTTATGACGTCGAATATCGACGTCAAAAACACCAAAGTTGATCGTGTTGATGACGTCGAATATCGACGTCATAAACACCAAAGTTGATCGTGTTTATGACGTCGAATATCGACGTCATAAACACCTAAGTTGATCGTCTTTATCACGTCGAATATCGACGTCATAAACACCTAAGTAGATCGAGTTTATGACGTCGAAAATCGACGTCAGAAACACCAAAGTTGATCGTGTTTATGACGTCGTATATCGACGTCATAAACACCTAAGTTGGTCGCGCTTATGACGTCGAATATCGACGTCATAAACACCAAAGTTGAACGTGTTTATTACGTCGAATATCGACGTCATAAATACCAAAGTTGATTGTGTTTATGACGTCGAATATCAACGTCATAAACACCAAAGTTGATCGTGTTTATGAGGTCGTATATCGACGTCATAAACACCAAAGTTGATCGTATTTATGACGTCGAATATCGACGTCATAAACAACAAAGTTGATCGTGTTTATTACGTCGAATATCGACGTCATAAATACCAAAGTTGATCGTCTTTATGACGTCGAATATCGACGTCATAAACACCTAAGTTGATCGTGTTTATGAAGTCGAATATCGACGTCATAAAGGGAAACGTGTATCGTGTTTATGACGTCGAATATCGACGTCATCAACACCAAAGTTGATCGTGTTTATTACGTCGAATATCGACGTCATAAACACCAAAGTTGATCGTGTTTATGACGTCGAATATCGACGTCATAAACACCAATGTTGATCGTGTTTATGAAGCCGAATATCGACGTCATCAACACCAAAGTTAATCGCGTTTATGAAGTCGATTATCGACGTCATAAACACCAAAGTTGATCGTCTTTATGACGTCGAATATCGACGTCATAAATACCAAAGTTGATTGTGTTTATGACGTCGAATATCGACGTCATCATCACCAAAGTTGATCGCGTTTATGAAGTCGAATATCGACGTTATAAACACCAAAGTTGATCGTGTTTATGTATCAACGTCACCAACACCAAAGTTGATCGTGTTAATGACGTCGAATATCGACGTCATTAACACCAAAGCTGATAATATAATAATAATATAATATAATGAATTTGTCACTTTATACACGATACAAACTAATTAATTAAAGACAAATAAAGACAGATACAAATCGTGACAGGGGAAAGGAACAGGACTCTCGTCCCAATTGACACCTAACCCCTAAAAAGACGTTAAATATAAATAAAGATAAAGAACAGGTTATAACACATTAGTTATAACAACTTATACTAGCTAAGGTTTGAATCGTGACTATAAAAGTACTGAACGTTTACACACTGCGACTTACCCACTATGGAGATTACTATTATGAATTATTCAAAATTAATTTGGAAATCACGAGTCAATTTATAACATATTTGTAAATATGATGAAAATGGCCGGATGATGGTTCAACAAATCGCAATGTGTAGACGCTGATCACGCAGTGCCCGGAGGTACGTAATGCGATAACTTAGTAGAATACAACTTATGAAGATGAGACTTGAAAATACTTAAAGAATTGGAGGATTTGACAAGAGACGGTAGAGTGTTCCATAGTTCAACCGTTCTAATGAAAAAAGAATTTCTAAAATAGTCCTGCTTGTGTTTAATTATAAGATTATAGTTGTTTTTATCATAATTTCTTGATTGGTATCCAGGTTCAAAAGTACATATATATTTGTTCACATCAGTAGTAATTGCTCCAGTTCTAGATTTAAAAAGTAGGCATAAGTCTGAGATATCTCTTCTGAACTCAAGAGGGAGAATCTTGATCTTCGCGAGTCTGTCGGCATACGTTAGGTCCTGTGGATAGTCAAGAATAAACTTTGTTGCCTTCCGCTGGACATTTTCGACTAGTCTCTTATGCTTGATGGTATAAGGTGACCATAAGCTGCTGGCATATTCTAGAATGGGCCTCACGAGAGCGCAGAATAGTAATTTTCTCACTCTTTGGTCGTGGGTATCCTTGCAAGTTCGTTTGACAAGTCCGAGTGTTCTGTTGGCTTTGGCCACCGTTTCTTCTATGTGTCTTGACCAGGACATGTCACTGCATACAGTCACACCAAGATCTTTGACGTATGGAACACATTCCAGAGGTTGACCGTCCAAATAGTACTGAGATACAATCTTCGTCTTCTTTCTCGAGACCCGTAGTGCTTGACATTTAGATTTGTTAAACTTCATCGCCCAGTCGAGACTCCATTTATGAAGGTTATTCAGGTCGTTTTGGAGGCGAAGGGTTGAGTCAGGAAGGTTGATGGGTTTATAAAGTTTGGAGTCATCGGCAAACAGGGCAATGGTTGATTGGGAATTGATGTAGCTGGGGAGATCGTTGACGTAGACGAGGAACAAGAGAGGACCAAGTGTGGAACCTTGGGGGACACCGGATGTTATTGGAAGCCAGTCAGAATAAACACCATCAAGAACAACTCTTTGATATCTGTCCGTGAGATAGCTGCTAAACCACGAGAGAAGAGATCCTGAGATGCCATAACTGTTCAGTTTTAAAAGTAGTAAACTATGTGGGACCTTGTCGAAGGCTTTAGATAGATCTAAGTAAATGATATCTACTTCCCTTCCCGATGCAACGGTTTCTATGATGTTGTGATAAACCTCCAAAAGTTGCGTTACCGTTGATCGTCCGCGCAAGAACCCGTGTTGAAGGTGGTATAACTGGGGTGAGAGGTGGTAGTAGCAGTGGTTAAAAACACAACGTTCCAATACTTTGGATAGTACACATAGAAGAGACATAGGACGGTAATTGGATTCTATCGATGGATCCTCTTTCTTGAAGACAGGAGATATGTTGGCGAATTTCCACTCTGACGGCACTACACCCAGGGAAAGGGAAAGCTTGAACAATCTGCACAAAGAGGGAGCAATCTCGTGCGCGACTTCTTTCAACAATCTACAACGAATA